AAAAAAAAAAAAAAAACAAAAAAAAAAAAAAAACAACCGAAAAACGAGTAAAAAAAAAAAAGAAGAAAAAAAGTTCACCCTAGAAACGTTCAAGTCGAGTGCGTTAGCCTGCATTGCATAGTCGGCAATTGTAGCTGTGTAACAGTACGCTGCCTATCAAAGGGACCAGACTTCGGATATATCGTCTGGTCGAATCGACGTCCAGCTTGCGTGTGTCGTCTTCTCTCACAAGGCTATTGTGTGTGGTGTGGTGTTGTTTGGTTGAGGGTGCGGACCTTTTCAATGGCTCTAATTGGATACTGAGAGCCGAATACCTCCAAGCCGAATACCTCCAAGTGGGCTTACCTTGGAAAAAAAAAAAATATAATAAATTCTTGTCGTGGTGCTGTGTTTCATTAAAAAATGTGTGACATACGGCGGTGCAGAGATTAAAGTGCGAATAGAAGAACAGCTTTTGTCTTCGTGACTTAGCCAGAGTGTGTGTCCGTGTGTAGGAACATAGCAATGAAATAGCTAAGTCTGCTAAGAGACAACATGTGTATTTTTTTTCCCATCCATATATCAATTTAGGTTTTATCTACAAATTTGTGTGTTTAAATACCTTACGTATCGTGCCCAATACCTCACGTATCGTGCCCAATACCTCACGTATCGTGCCCAATACCTTACGTATCATGCCCATGAAACACAAGTATAACCGTTTATTTTTTAATTTTTTTTTGTGAGGTCGTGAGCCAAGTCTCATCAGCTGATTAAGAATATTTAGAAAGGAGTACGATTTCAACCAGCTTTCGTAATGTCAGGCGACGGTTGCCAAGGGGTGATTTCTTCGCCTGTTCCGGCGTCAGATAAAACCAAGGCATTGTCTAAGAGGATGGGATTTCCTATAACGTTAGGATCCCCGAGAGTGACCAGCGCGCAAAAAATATTATTGCTCACCTTAGTATTAATCCAGTGTGTCGATTTCGCGATGTGCTCCGACGGCCAAAAGCCGGGAGGCAGTTCGCTTCAGAACAAGTGCAAGGCGCTGACCCTAGAAGACGCCACGGACATGGCCAACGTCGTCGTGTCCGGCAAGGTGGTCAAGCTGAAGGCCGACCGCGAGCACTCCACCCGGGACAACCAGATGTACATCGGGGAGATCGAGATCAAGCGGGTGTTCAAGGGGGGGGCCGTGGTGGATTCGGTGGCCACCGTCAACCACGGCATCCTCAGGGACTACCAGATCGTGACGGTGGAAGGGTTCGGCGACCCGGGGATCTGCGACAACAAGGTCAGCGAGAGGGACACGAAGATCTTCCTGCTCAACCCGGCCGGCAACGGGGACTTAAAGCTGAATTCGTCCATCATGCCCTTGACCCTGAGGAATTTGGATTATGTGGACGCCGTCGTGAACGGTAAGAATAAGATCCTTAGAGAAATAACTACCTGACGTTTACAGCTGTCTGATCCACATACCTTGTATATTATGTGTGTGAATTACCACTGTGTCCTCGTGTTACTTTATTTTTTTTAAAAAACCCGTTTGGCTCTGTATAAGTGGTTCTCAAATTGTGTTTTTCACTGGCGTGATGACAAGTTTTTTTTGGGGCTCAGTATAGACTTATATGAGCTTTCTCTTTAGCGATTATGGGTTCATTTGCTTGTGTGATAATTAGGGGTCTGTTTTTCAGTTTTCAAGTTTATAGCCTGCAGTTAATTTTGGTATACGATTCAAAGAAACTGAACAGATATCACACATTTTCTATCAGATTCATCAAAAGCTCCTTGATCGAAGGTCTCACCATGCCATTGTTTCGCGGGTCTCAGGTCGAGACTCCCGTTAGTGTCTGGATTCTAGCAAACGAATTTTTATTGAAACGAGGGAATCTTTCCATTGGAATAAACAATGCAAATCCGTCGTTCAAAGTATTTATTGTTAACTTTTATAAATCTTCGGGACGTACCTACAAATTGTTACATTCTTGGTCGTAGTTCTGGCTCACTTACCTACAAAGTAATGCATTCTTGACCGTCGTTGTGGCTCACTTACCTACAAAGTAATGCATTCTTGGCCGCAGTTGTGGCTCACTTACCTACAAAGTAATGCATTCTTGGCCGTCGTTGTGGCTCACTTACCTACAAATTGTTGCATTCTTGGCCGTAGTTCTGGCTCACTTACCTACAAATTGTTGCATTCTTGGCCGTAGTTCTGGCTCACTTACCTACAAATTGTTGCATTCTTGGCCGTAGTTGTGGCTCACTTACCTGCAAATTGTTGCATTCTTGGCCGTAGTTGTGGCTCACTTACCTGCAAATTGTTGCATTCTTGGCCGTAGTTGTAGCTCACTTACCTACAAATTGTTGCATTCTTGGCCGTAGTTGTGGCTCACTTACCTGCAAATTGTTGCATTCTTGGCCGTAGTTGTAGCTCACTTACCAGAAATTGTTGCATTCTTGGCCGTAGTTCTGGCTCACTTACCTACAAATTGTTGCATTCTTGGCCGTAGTTCTAGTTCCAGCAGACGGTTTACTTACTAAAAGATAATGACCCACTTGTGTACCCCCTCCCCCCAATTTCTGATATCACCCAACTTCTCCGCACCCCACCCCATTTCTACTATATTATATACTACAATAAAGTTCGTTATACAGGGAAGTAGGTATACTATGTCTAGAACCTGATGTAAAGGTTAGAGTTCAACTCAAGTGTACAAGGAAAAAAAAAAAAAAGAAGCTTTGTTTAAGAGCAGCCGTAAATTCTTGATCTCCCACTCCACCAGACATTTTGTGTCCTCCTCCCCCCACCCCCCCACACACATTTCCTTTTTACTCCCCACTCCCTTCCTTAAAACATAACACGCCAATACATGGCGTCAAATCCCAGGACACACCGTTTAACATAGCAGCACATCATTCATTGAGTAGTACGGACACGGAGTGGTACCTCAACCAACACATCAAACGGTGCCATGCGAAGTGTGTGTGTGTGTGGGGGGAAGAATGTGATGAGACCTCTTTGACATGCACTACAAATAAGTCACTTTACGGAGGGCGCGCACCGAAGGCTGGAACCAGGACACGGGCTTTATGATAAGATCATCACATTGGCTCTGAAAAGGAATGTCCTTCACGGTTAACAAACAAGGAGGATGAATATAATATTGCATTTACAACAATAATAATATAAAAGAAATAATCTATGTGAAGTGCCATAACAGGGGTATCGTTATATCGTTGACATATGATCTGAATACCGAGAAATCAAATTGAGACGAGCAGGCATTTTGTTGTGGTGCACAGGTGGACGTTCATATAACTAACACAGGCACAGGTGGACGTTCATATAACTAACACAGGCACAGGTGGACGTTCATATAACTAACACAGGCACAGGTGGACGTTCATATAACTAACACAGGCACAGGTGGACACTCATATAACTAACACAGGCACAGGTGGACATTCATGTAACTAACACAGGCACAGGTGGACATTCATATAACTAACACAGGCACAGGTGGACACTCATATAACTAACACAGGCACAGGTGGACATTCATATAACTAACACAGGCACAGGATGAATCTCATATAAATAACACTGACACAGGTGGAGATTCATATAAACAACACTGACCCAGGTGGACGTTCATATAAACAACACTGACAGGATGGCACAACAACCATAACTATCGTGCGTTTAAAAATTCCCCCAGGACGTAACGTTTAAGATTAATGGCCCGTTGTTAAAGTTCCATTAGATTTTTAAACCGCTAAAGCTAAAAAAAAAAAGTCATGACATTACAAAACTCAATTTATGAAAACGGGTTTGCGTTTCTAATCCTCCGTTCCCGTGTTAATAATAAGGCCTGAAATCGATCAAGTCGCTTGATGCGGTGGAGTAAATAAATCAGATACGATCGCGAATGTGGCCGCAAGGGGTTTCCGAGGTAAGACACGACTCAAGCCAGACACTAACGCGTTTTGGTCACACACATTTTTGTTCCGATATGAGACGTGTTTTGAAATAAGCGATTTAGACCGACGATTTTGTTGTTAACTGTCTCATATCTGATTTTAAAAAAAACAATAAAAAAAAACAACCCAACAACAATGTGGATTTACTGCCTACATCCCTACAGATTCGCCATTTGTGGGAAAAAGCCATTCTTTGCTTCAGCATGGGATCTTTGTGCTCGGACCCGCTTTGACATTCCCGGAAACAAATTTTAAATGTACATTTCTATTTGAATCCTTTATATTAATTTTTATTATTATTTTTTTTTTGTTAGTGGGGGGCTGGCTGGCAAAAATCTTCGAACGGCTAATTGACCCGCTTCTCGTCAACCTATCGAGCTGAAGCTTAGCACATAGACGCGTGCCGATGACAACACATTCTTTCAAATTTTCAACCCCAACCCGAAACGCAAAAAAACAACAACTGTTTTTCACGGGAAAGATGAAGGCGACTTGATGATACTGATTTCACCAATTTCAATTTCCCGAATAACTGCGCTATATGAGGTTCTTACAAACAAAATTATCTTAAGTGCGTTTGGTGCGTAGTATCTTCGTTTGTATTTCTGAAATAGTTGTTGAAATAAATGTGCGGTGTGGAGGCGAGTTTGTCATTAGAATATTTATTAAGTTCAGGGGCGTGAGAAAGTTGTGCGGTTGTGAGCCTTTAAAGAGGGGGGTTGGGTGGGTTGGGGTTGGGATGCACTACAAATTGGAATTCTTATAACGTGTAGTACTTATAGGCACGTTTTGTAAAATCTTCAGGCCGCCACCCCCCCCCCCCTTTCATTGCTCGGTATTGTATTTTATCAAGCAGTTACACGTAAAACTTTGCTTTTATGGGTTGTTGACTTAATTGTTTCCCAGCGCTGCTTATAAGCGTTGTTTTTCCACTGGGACGCGATTGTAAGATCACATCTACCCGTGACCACTAGACGTCCACGGCAACGATCTTACCCAATCCTGTACAGTAAAGCGGTGGTATGATGCGCGGTGTTCATTTGTGTGCAATGGTTTTAAAATATAATATAGCATTCGATCTAAGCCCCCCCCCCTTTCCCCCCTTTTTTTTCATATTTTTATCAATTTTCCCATTAGCACTTTATGAACCATAAATACTTTTTTTTCCCCGTTGTTTCGAATGACATTGAAATCCTAATATGTCTGGATTTATATGCCGTTACAGAGCTTAACAAGGTGTATGCTTAGTCTAAATGGAGTGGTTAACTTTTTAAAAAAAATTTAAAGTGTGTGTGTGGGGGGGGGGATATTTCATTTGCCAATTATTAAGCTCACTGTCATCAATTTTTGCATATGAGATTCGATGAAAATGAGAGGCGCAACTTCAATCACAGAATGAGCTTAACGAAAAATGCAGCCCACTTTTCATATCAATTGATAATGAAAGTTGGTAACACATATTTGTTTAATGCAATTTTCTTATTACCCTTAGAATGTGTTCATCATTGCCTGATCCGTCTGAGAAATATTGTCAGACTCAGTAAGAAGCCTTCCAATCTGCCATCTGAGTCTTGGAGTGTTCCATAATTATAATCTTGCACTACGCTAGCTACAATTGTATGGATTCAACTCCCTTTGCTCCCAAACAGGAAGCTCTTATCTGCTCCTTGACACTTCATTCCTCACACTCCATCATCTGGGCATGTCATTTATCCGGGTACTCTTAGAGAAGGTCACTCTATTATATCTGTCGCTCCACCCTCCCCCCCCCCCCCACCCCTACTTTATCTTACAGCTAGCATCTCTCTTTTAAACGTGTCCATTGCTTATTGCAATCAGATATTTCCACCCCCCCCCCCCCTCATTCCTTCATCGGCCCTCCTGTGAACGTCACATTGTTGACCAGTGTGTTTGATCGCCATTCGTCACCCAGAGAACACCAGGGAGTTCGGTCTTCCGTCGTTTGGATTCGTTCCCCTCTGATTAATGGCACAAGGCGTCGAGAGTATTGTTTGCTTGCTAGTTTGATGGCTTGTCTGTGCGGCTAATGATACCCGTTCGTGTTGTTTTTTTGTTTTTTTTCTCCACCTTGACCTGATGTCGCACACACTTTAGTCTCAACTTTGTCTCGTCTAGTCCGTGCGGTAAAGTTTGCGTAAATTTGTTTACCGGGTGACACTAACCCTGACCCCTAACCCCAACTCTCCCCGGTAGACACTAACCCTGGTTGCTCCACCGGTTCCCATTGCTGCCCTCTGACATGCCAATATCACAATAGCGGACTTCAGTTTTTCTGTATATTCCGATTTCTGATTTTTAAAACAAGCCAAACCGATTGCAGCCCATCTTTAAACACGTCGCTAGATATAATAATAAAATAATTGTTTCGGCTTCATTGGCTGCTAGAATTTTAGTCAAACATTGTTACCCTTTGCGTGTCCAGGTGTTTTGGACACTACAATCCACCAACGT